AAAACGAGGAAAACAGGAATAGTGGTGAAAAAGGGTTTTTTTATCATGTTCTTTTTATATAGCACTCCAATAATTTTTTTCATCCTTTTTTTCAAGAAAACGGCTTTCCACATTCTTTTCGTCTTATTTTACTCAGAGACTTATTCACATGTGTATATCTATTAATACAACAACACAATCAAAAGAATTGCCGAATTTGTTTTTCAAGAAGAAATATGGATCTTATGTCAAATTGAATGAAGGCAAAGAGAAGAAGAGTTAATATCCAATTGGAAGGTCATTACCAAATATATCAAGCTATTTTAAGTTATAAAAGAGTTAAATAAAAACTAGACAAAGGAAGGAAAATTCACCTCAAAAATAAACACGAAAAGAACAAATTGCTGGGAAGGCGATGGATTACCACTTCACAACCACTTCGAATTACTACGACCAATGCGAGTTCTTGGACTTTGGCGCAACGTGTGACGACTCCTCGGACGACGACGCAAGCGCTTATTTTCCTACGTTCCACCTCTGTCCGCAGTCGACGTCGTTTGAGACAAAATACGACGAGTGTGCCGCGACTAACGACGCAATGATCAAAAAGCAAAAGGACTTCATCGCGTGGACAAAAAAGCTCGAGCGTGAGACATCGACGCATAAAATGTATGTCTGTGGGCGTAACTCCGTTGTATATACAAAAAAGTGGTTAGAAGATTTTGGGAAGAAGACCAGTACAATGCGTTTTGAGGATATCAACACCGTCATCTTCCAAAAATGTTTGATAGGTGGTGACGTCGTCATAATCGAAGTCGCTTCGATCCTTGATGTGACAGACAACATTGATGTGTTTAAAGGAATCAAAGGAAACAACATCGTCGTGTGTTGTAATGACATCAAAAATTGTCAAAGGAATAAAGGAATGGAGTTCAATGCTGTGTTTAAGCGCATCACGTTAAAGGGGTGAAAGACACCCTCTATAGTCTCACTTCTGTGTTTTCACTTGTTTTTGTATTATTTTGGTTCATGATTCTTATAGCATATCTTTTATTATAATTGGAAACTATAAAATCTATAACCTCAATGCACTCAAATGCAATTCGCGAGTGGATTGGACTTGTCGCTGTTTGTTCTTGATGCTGTGATATTTAAATTAACGGAAAGGCGTTTTCTGTGCTCTTTTGCTTTGGAGGTATGATGATTGAAATGAATAAAACAGTGATAGAAACCCCAAAGTACTATGTAGTGTGGATCACTCTGATGTTCTGGTTGTGTGTTGGAGTGATTTGTTTTGCAAATATGGAAAACCCAGTTATTGTCCCTAAAGAGTACACCATTGTAATCGACAAACCTTTTGTGTTCTCAACACTTTCATTTGCCTTTTCTGCAATTTCTATCATTATTTTGGTTCTTGGAATGTTCTCAGTGAATTACGTGGGAGACGAGTTAACTGACACCATCCGAATTAAGACCGAGGCAAGTGTTTGTTTACTGGTATTGTTCTCATTTTAATGACTCATAGAATTACTGCTGTATTTATCAAAACAACACACATTCGGACGACTGCGGTTGTCTGAAGTACGAAGGGAAACTTGAAAAGACGATTGGCATCTTCAACAAATTGAAAAAAGGGAAGAGACAAATAGTCCACTGCGAGAAGTGCCAGAAGCTCTCTTCATTCACATTTTGCTATCACATTTCAATAACAGTGAACATCATTTCGAGTATTGTTGTTCTTTTTCTCGCATACTTGCATTTAAGCTTGGAAAGGAAATACATGGCGCTACTTGAGAAACAAATCAAAGTGGACGAAGCGCAATATGTCGAAGAACAAGCGGGGTTTGTGAAGAATTTGATATTTGGAACAAAAGAAGAAAAAATTGAGTGAATATGGTGCATCAAAATATTATTTTTTCATAATAAAAAGTGTTACACTTTTGTATCTAAAAGTGGTAAAATACAATAAAAATTCAACTGATGTTTATTAAAAAGTATCTAAAATGAAATACCAGTGCATTGATAAAAGAACTGGAATTAAAGAAGCACAGAAATGGACGACAAACAATTATTAGAACGCGAGAGGAGGGCGTGGGCAGACAAGGAAAAGAAATACAGAGAAGAAATCTCTCAACTCAAATCAAAGAGACTGACCAACTTTTTTTGGTCTAAAGACAATGGAGAAAAAGCAGAAGCAGAGAAGCAACAATTAGTGAATGATCTCCAAGAACAAATGGCAGAGGAAAACAAACAAAAAGTCGAAACACTGAAAGACAACATCAGAATGATGATGGAAGAATCTAAAAAGCTTGAGGCCGAGTTAAAGAAGAAGGACCAACTTATTGAAGAGATGCAGAAGATCCAGACGTCTTCTGCAAGTTTTGATGATATCAAAGAAAACATTTCTAAGATGATGAAAGATTGTAAGGACGAAGTCTGTAACGAAATTAACACTGAAAATTATGGAAACGACACTAAGACTATTATCATGAAGACGTTCGACGCTGCTCAGACTTTGGTTGAAAAAGCTTCGTTGGGTGATACCAATTCCGGAGAGTCGAAGATCTCCGAGTTAATGCAGAAAATTGTGAAACTTGAGAAAGAGAAGGAAGGCAAAGTTATTATCACACAAGCGACTTACGACGAGTTAAAACAGAGTCTCTGTGCTGCCGAGGACAAAGAAAAATACTATAAAGATCTTTATGAAAAAATGCAGAAAAACGACACAAGTGGCGCTTGTATTGAACTAAAAAAGGCGGAGGAAAATGCACGAAACTTGCTTGCACAGAAGACAGCTGAGTTCGATCTTAAAGTGAAACAAATGGAGGAAGACAATAATGTGATTAATGACAAGAAGATAGACCTTCAAATGAAGTTGAGTGATGCGTTAGTGGAACTCTCGAGTTTAAAACAATATGTTGATGATATCAAATCGGGCAAGTTGCAGTTGGATGATGTCGTTGAAGGTATGAAAGAGTTAAAGAGTGAGAATATTGCCATTCAAATGCAATGTACTGAGCTTCAAAGTCAGAACGATTATTTGAAGAGTGCGGATGAAGAGAACAAAAGTAAGATAAGACAGATGCAAACCAAATTAGATGAGCAGTCTGTCTTAATGCAACAGAGTAATAAAGTAGCACAAGATGCGGAAGAGGGCGAGGAAAGGAATAAAAAGGAAAAGCAGAAGTACTTGAGAACCATCGAAGACCTCCAAAACGAAGTAAAAAATTTAGAAGACGAGAACAAGACACAAAAAGCGAAATTGGAGTTAGAAATTGATTCTAAAGAGAAGCAAAGGCTGTTAGTAGAAAGCGAAAACGACAAGCTAAGGCGAGAAGTGTTGGAAGCCAAAAGTGCATTAGCTGAGAACAAGAAGAAGACTCGAGAAAGTGAAGAAGCAATGACAAAGCGAATTGTTGAGATGAAGATGACGAAAACAGACAATTTGGTGAATGTCCAACTTGAGCAAGACAGGCTGAAAGCCCGTGTTGAAGAGTTGGAGAATCAAAATAAGACGTTGGAAGAGAAAAACACCAAAATGAGTTTATTGCTGTCAGCGCGTGTCGCGGAAGATGAACGAGCGAAGCGAGAAAGAAACAAAAAAGTCCAAATCATCCAATTTGGCAAGAAACAAAGTGTTGTTGGTGAAGAGCAAGTCACGTTACTTGGTGAGAAGATTGGCGAGCTTCAAATGGAAAAGGCGCAGATATGTGAAGAGTTGAGTAAGACTTCGAATGTTTTGAAGCAGAAAGAAATGGAGTTAGCGGCGTGGCGAAGTGGGGTGGTTGATACATATCTGAAAAGTGTGTTTTCAAAAATGGAGAAAAAAAGTAAAGATTCATTCTCACAGATGCAGGGGATAGTCCAAGATTTAGCTGCGCAAAATGTTTTATTACGTTTGTTATTTCTTCTTTGTAGTTTTGTTCTATGTCATTGACTTTCAGAACAAGAAATCGCGAAGTTCAAACAAAACTAGAGAGTTTTGGTATAATTTAGTAGTTCTGTTTTTTAGAGGAAATGATATCGATTTGTTATTATTCCGTTTTGGTTTGAAATTAAAAAATTGAGTAGAGAATATTGTCTTTATGTTCTAATTGTATTTTTGTGGTGAAGTACTTTAAGAAAAATAGTCTTATTTTGAATAAAAAAGCAAAAAACGAATTTTTATATACAAAAAAAACGATACAATTATTATCAAATAGTTGTTAATAGTAAAAAAATTATATATAGTTTATTATATTTTTTTTACATAAAATTAAATAAATAATTTGAGGTGCAACTCGTCAAATCAATTATTTTGGTAATTGATACTAATGAATATAATAACATTTTATTAATAAAAACTATTAACCATTGAATTTGTGTTTTAAAATCAATTGTTTTTTTGGTTTGACTTTGTTCAAAAAGTTCATCAAATTTGATATTATTTGAATAGTGAAGAAATAAGTTTGTTATTGTTGAATTATAGTATTTTATCAGTTGGGATTATTTTTAATTGATGAAGAATGGACACAAGAAATAATATTCTGCTTGAGTTTCGTTCCATTATTTAAAAAAGTATTATAGAAGAGTGTTTGTGTATTATACCATAATATAATAATTGCATAATCACCAATAAAACCTAAAAATTTAATTATTTATACAACTTAAAAAAGGAAATATCACAAATCAAATTACAAACAATATTTTTTGGCATTTGCATCGTTTTCTCCCTATCATTAAAATTGATCAATATTTGAGTAAAAAATATAATTGTTGAAATTTCCATGTTTTTGAAAACATATTTGTCTTCTTTTTTTGAACACAATCGGGAATAAAAGGTGTGTTTTAATTAAGAAGTCACGAAAAAGAAATATCATTTTTTTTCGATACCAATAAATTGTTTCGTAAAAATGGAAAAATATTTAATTAGCAATTTACTACCTTAAATTATATCATGTTTATATTATAAAAAAACGTATTTGATCTATAATGAGAAAGGAAAAGAAAACGAAGTATCTTTGGAACAAATTCCTTTTTCATGTTGTTGTTACTTCTGTTGATATTCGCGTCTGTTCTCCAAAGCAAAAAGGTGAGCATTGACGGTCCATGTCTTGTTTGTTTATATGTTTACACGTTTATCAATTACTCGTATTGACATTCAGACCGGACTGCGTGCGGAAAGTACAAAATTCTTAGGAAAAAGTGGGATTGCCGGTCTTCGTAGTCAAATCCTGGATGATTGCCACCGATTCGTTCCCGATAGAGAAAACTTGATTACTGCATTTGCGACGCAAACCGACTGTTACTTTGCGAGAGAGAGCTTTTTCCAGAGTGTTCAAGGGATAAACTTCAATCGATGTGGTATATGTGTAGAGGTGATTGGGCCGACTTTAAAAAGAGCCACATGTACTTTGGTTGGTTCTGTTGTCATGAATTTTACAAATCCACTTACTATGGTCGAAGACATTAATACTTACGCAAGAACTGTTTTTCTTAATGACCAACTTTACAAGTTTTTGGGTGGGTATGGAACAGATGGAGAGACTGGAAATACTTTCCCTATAGCTGTTCATTCTGTGAATTGCCCATTTAAAACTGTTCCAAGTGCAATGGTGACTTCAATTGTTGATGATGGGAAAGGTGGAAAGAATGCTGCAATTTCAGTGTTTAACACAAACCAAATAACAAGTGGCATTGAGTTACTTGGAAAGTTCTATCAATTTGATGAATACCTACAGTTTATTGTACCAGTCACAGACATACCCAAAGGTACATTTTTGAAGGTACACAACGTCTTTGGCGGACATGTCAATATCCCTTTTATGTTTACAGTAAACAAAACCCTTTCGTCTTCGACAGTCCCACTTGATTACTTTAAACCACAAGAATGTTCACTTATTATTAACGAAGGAACGACGCTGCGGGAGGAAAATGATGACCCTTTAATGGTGTGGACATTGAGAATGCATGATGTTAATAACATTTCAAATAGTCATATAATAACAGATTTGAAGAACATTGAAATCGACACAGAAGTTCGTATCTCAATGACATTTCCTTATCCTATCATTATTTCAAAACATTTTAAGTCGTTCAGAGTGGTATTTGACTCAACTGTTCTAATCGAACCAAATCAAGAAATCTCTTTATACACATTTGTTAATGGTGTTACTAATTTGAAAGAATTTAAATGTTCAAAGGATTTTGTATTCGACAGAAACGTTTCACAAACAGCAAATGGGTTACACGTCGAATCTGCATTTTCACTCAATATGGCAAGGTGTTATTCACAAGGTTTGTTTTGTAAATATTGAATCAAAAAATATGACATGTAGTAAATATGATGATGATGCATTATAAACTGAAAGGAAAAGGTGTTCTGTCCGTCAGTTCAATATCCTTTAAGCAGTTGTATACAAGAAATTTCACGAATTGTTCAACTACGGCTTTTGCTTGTGGGGAAAGGGATCAATGTGATCCGACGAACAGTGAAGTAGAAGATGTGAGTGGGATAGAAGTGCGATATCAAAGTGGGTGTGTTCCGTATTGTGGTGTTTGTAAAAGTGATGAGGTGTGTTCAAAGGCTGCGCGTTGTGTCAAAAGAACAACAAAAAACACACGAGATGGTGTGTTTGGAGTATTCATCATGTCTATTCTTTGCATTCTATTCTGTATCTAACTATACTTTATTATAGTTCATTGTTACTATTCAAATTATAACTATATAAACTATAATATAATTATAAACTTATTTTATATTTAAATTAAAGGATAATAAAATCGTAACTATTAATAATTTTTAATTTTTTTAAATTAATAAATCAAAAAAATATCAAAACATTTTTTTTTCTAAGCTAAATAAAGTCAAATAATTATTACATAAATCAATAATATGCCAATTGTTACAATAATTAACGCAATGTCCCATTTATTATGAATTTATCATATTTAATCAACAATTCTTGTGCAAAACAATAAACATTTGCTTAGTTTACTAACTTGTTTTTTGTTCATATTAAAAATAGCCATAATTTTATTATCAAATATTTTTTTTAAAATCAATTTTTAATAATTGTCCGGTTTATCTTTTTTTGAATTTTTGAAAAGAATTACTCATTGCCTATTTACTATCAATCATAATTTGCATAGAAAATGGGGTTTAAATTATTTATTATTAAAAAAGGTAAAAAAGCATTTGTTTTTTACCTTTATTTTATAAATTGCAAAAGTAACAATGTAAAAATGCTCTTTCAATTACCAAAACAATAGCAGAATTTTTTTTAAATAAAAACAAGAATAAAAAAAAGAAATAACTTTTCCAATTCCAAAATGAGCTGTTGAGAAAAATCCATTTGAAATTTGTTTCAGGACAGTCTAGAAATTGGCCAATATTCTGTCCTATTTTTTGACACTTAGAAGAATACAGACTTAAACATGACCACCACTCGGGTGATATCCAAAAAACATAAGAGTTTGTCTCGGTTGGCTGTGCCAATCAGGTAGTTGGGAGTGATGAATAAAATATTGAAAAAAGTGCTCCTTCAAACACTTTGTGTCAAACTATACTTGCTGGTTTATTAAAAGTAATGATCAAAGTAAATGACTTGGCAGTTATTTGTCATTATAAAATAACAAATCGGTTTATTAAAAACAGAATAATACTTGTTGATGTTGTTGTTATTGAGTATTTTATTCTGGGTGTCATTGAGTTCCGATCAGGTCTCTGTTGATAGTCCGTGTATGGTTTGTTTTGTTGAATCGACATAACAAAGGCAATAACAATCAAGACTGGACTTCGTGGGGAAAGTACAAAATTTCTTGGCGTGAGTGGTTTGGCAGGTAAAAACAGTTACATCCAAGATGATTGCCATAAATTCATACCAAACAGTGAGAGTCTGGTTACAGCATTTGCAACACACACCGACTGTTATTTTGCCAGAGAGTTTTTCTATCAAAAGTTGTTAGGAAAAGACTATCCAAGATGTGGTATATGTGTAGAGGTGATTGGGCCGACTTTAAAAAGAGCCACATGTACTTTGGTTGGTTCTGTTGTCATGAATTTTACAAATCCACTTACTATGGTCGAAGACATCAATGCACATTCCAGAACCATTTTTCTTAATGACCAACTTTACAAGTTTTTGGGTGGGTATAGTACTTCTGATAATGTAGGTCACACTTTTCCAGCTGTTGCTAGAATTGTGAATTGCCCATTTAAAACACTCCCAAGTGCTGTAGTGACTTCTATAACCGAAACTGATGGAGAAAAAAGTGCTAAAATTTCTTTATTCAACACAAATCAAGCGACATCTAAAATTGAGTTACTTGACACCATTTACCAATATGACTCGGATTTACAATTTACTATTCCAGTAACAAAATTACCAAAAAACTCTTTTCTCAAAGTTTTCAATTTGTTAGGCGGACATGTTAATATTCCTTTCGAGTTTGTGACAAACAAAACCTTTTCGTCTTCGACGGTCCCACTTGATTACTTTAAACCACAAGAATGTTCACTTATTATTAATGAAGGCATAACACCAAAAGAACAAGATGATGACCCTTTAATGGTGTGGACGTTAAGGGTACATGACAACGACAACATTTCAAATAGTCATATTGTTGAAGACCTAAAAAACATCACAATTGACAAAGAAATCTATGTCTCACTTTCTTTCCCATTCCCAGTTCGAATTTCAAAACATTTCAAGTCTTTCAGGACAGTTTTTACAACATCTGTTCCTATCGGCCCAAATGTGGAGATGACACTTTATGCTTTTGGAAGTGATATAAGTACTATAAAAGAGTTGAAGTGTTCACATGATTTTGTGTATAACAGGAGTTTTGAAATTTTAGAAAATGGTGGAATTTATATTGACTCATCAGCCAGCTTTAATCTAGCAAGGTGTAATTCCCAAAGTTTGTTATTTGAGTGTTATACTATTTATAATATATTTAAAAAATCATACTAATAATCAGTCAACGCATTGATGATGCATTATAGGTCTCCCATGAAAGGGACGATATCCGTTTATTCCCTTTCTTTCAAGCAAGAGTATCCTCTCAATTTTACAAAATGTCCAACGACCACTTTTCAATGTGAAGATAATATTCAATGTGATCCGACGAACAGTGAAGTAGAAGATGTGAGTGGGATAGAAGTGCTATATCAAAGTGGGTGTGTACCGTATTGTGGTGTTTGTAAAAGTGATGAGGTGTGTTCAAAGGCTGCGCGTTGTGTCAAAAGAACAACAAAAAACACGCGAGATGGTGTGTTTGGAGTATTCATCATGTCTATTCTTTGCATTCTATTCTGTATCTAACTATACTTTATTATAGTTCATTGTTACTATTCAAATTATAACTATATAAACTATAATATAATTATAAATAAAATGCCAATGAACTTGAAAAGAAGAAACAAAAAATCATACTATTTAGCTGATGCTTCTTGCGCCAGTTATTTTTTTGGTGTTCTTATTTGTTATTGGAACTTCGAGCTCGAACAAGAATTCTTTAAGTCAAATTGACCAAATACTCAACCAACGGATTTTGGGAATTCCTCTAAAACCAAAGTCCGCATTATACACTCAAAAGAATAAAGCGATGTTACAAGAAACAGACGATTTGATGAGACAACTGGACACAGTAACAAAAACTGTTAAAAAACTGCAAAAAGACCGCGACGCAGATAGAAAGAACAAACCAAAGATGGTGATGATCACTTATAAAAACAATGGACCGCATGCTGGACAAAGTATTGAACCATCGGAGTACATCCCATATAACTCAAATGTCAACGCTTACAACAATGTTCACAAACACAGAAGAGTTGCACACACAAAGCAATACCTCAATAATTACAAACGTGTCGACAATTCGAAACTCACGCCGTACGAAAAAATGCAGAGAAGGTACTTTCCATATAAATACAGGAAGGTGTATACACACAGAGTGATACCAAAGTACTTAAACAAATACACCAACAAAAAATTAGCGAAACGAATGGTGAAGACTGCGCTGAGGAATAAAAAGGTCGAGTACCAAAATTCGCAAGACAAAAAATTGAATGCATTTATACACACAGATGACTGGAAGAAAAACATACAAGAAAACTTCCGACAGTTCCAAGACAAGAAAATAAGTAAATTGGAACATCTGAAGATGAAAGACGATCTGAGAAAATTGGAGGAGGAAGAGAAGGAAGCAATCGAAGAAATTAAGATGCGAATGAAGTCGTCGGAATTGGAGTTAAAAACGCGAGCAGATAAGTTGCGTGCGGTTCTCAAAAAAGAGCGTGAGAACAGCGAGCGAGTCATACACAACGAAATTATTAAAAAGGAAACAGAATTTAAACTCGAGCGCAATCGGCTGAGACGAGAGTTTAAGAAGACGATGGCACTTCAACTTGAGAAGCTTAAAACACATTTTGTAAAAACGGGAGACGGCGCCGTGGACAATACAAAAGAGGTGAATCAATTGAAGGCACTCACACAAAAGGTGCTTGTTAATTTGGGAGAAGACCCAGTCACAGTCTAATTTAAATTTTATGTTTGTTTTCAGTGGTCTATATATATGACATTATATCATTGATTGATTAGTAAATATATTAAATAAAAATAGTATATAAATATCTATTTTTAAATTGGATTCTAAACTAATAACATTGGTTTAGTAAATCTAATGGTCGTTTGTATTACTGCTTTTTTCGCTTTCGCTTTCACTTTCGCTCGCGTCTCCAGTCTTCGATAAACTCTCATCACTCTCGTCTACTGGTTTTGACATTGTTTCGGATTTGTTAGAAACTTGAGATATTTCAGACTGTTTTGGAACATCCTTTTCTTGTGATTTTACACTGCTCTCAGACCCCGAACCAGATGTTTCTGATAACGAATCAGATTCAGATTTGTTCTTGTCTGAAACTTTGCTCTCGTTCTCATCACTGGAGAGTGAACTCTCCTCAAATACATTGTCTTTGGCTTCAAACACTTTAACGTTTTTCTTGTTTTTCAAGATGATTGTCCTTGCTACAATCACAAACACAACAAGAAGTAGAATGAACACTATGACAACCACACCAACCACAACCAACACAGCAATCACCCAAGTTGGTACATCGTTATTTGTTGTATTTTTAACAATAAAAGCATCACTTGAACCGAGTGGGTCATTTGGACATTCTTCAACTGTAAAGCCAGTTTTAACAAGTGCTATATATATGTTACAAACTTGTGTTATTGTGTATGATGTGATTGTGGATCCGTCTTCTGTTTTTAAAATAAACGATGCACCATACTTTGTGACAAAGTTTTGAATTTGCGTTCTTACTATGTAAATAACATTTGGAAGACTTTTTGTTGGTAAGACGACATCAAAGACAAGAGTTGGATTAGTCTCTTCCTTCAGAGATACTGCATTTCCAAGTACCAACGGGAAATCCTCTGCACTTTTCAATTTCATTGTAATTGTGAGCGTGTTCAAATCATATCCTCCATTCGAAAGTGTGAGTTGTGATTTATCAATTAATACAGATTCGAATGTCGAAACACTATTTGAAGTTAAAGAGGTGAATGAAAATTTGGTTTCATTTGAGTTGGTGAGGGCAATATTTCCAAAAGTAAAAGACGATACAAATTTCAAAGGAATGGGAATTGTGCAACTATCGACAACCAAATTTGGTTTTGTCTTGTTTGTTGTAGTGTCTTCTAATTTTGCAACACTGCCATTGGTTGTTACAATTTCAATGGAACCAAAAGTCGACGGTTTAGAAACGCCAGAAATTTTGAGCGTTTGTGTTTCGAGAAGACTCAATTTTTCAATTGAAAACCTGTCAACACTCAAATGAATATTCGTTGTACTCTCCATGGCAGTACAAGATAGTTTAGGCCCAGTGAATGTGACAGGAGCTGAACTGATTTCAATAAATTTGGTGGATTCTATTTGAGTGTTGTTAATAGTGTATTCTTCAACTCCATCGCGCTTGAAAATTAAGTGACAATACTCTCCGTCGCACGCACAGCCATTTCTATTCCAACTCAGTGCCTTGTTATTATCGTCGAACTCAAGAACACTGTTTACAATTCCACTCTCTTTCATTTCACATACAATCTGGTTCTTTCTTGAAGCAAATGTGTTATAGAAAATGGTGGTATTATAAGTATCCAAATATACATTATTTGGTTTAGACCCAACAACGACGTATTTAATATCAGATGTGGTGGTAATGGGATATGCACTTATTGCATTAGGAACGACTATAAGCTTTTTCACGACAAACTTTTCTCCAGTGTTCATGATTATAAAGTCTTTATCAGTGTCATGATCACTCATAGACCGACTAATGTCCAAATTCTGTACTTTTAACCCACCAGTTATTTCTATTTGCTCACTACTTTTGAGTATTAAGGAAGCGTTTTCCATATCACTTCCTATTGTCAGTCTCATCTTCTTATCAGAAGATGTTGTTTTTGAAGTGAGTGAAACAGTTGCCCCCTCTTTGACATACCCAGCACTTCCTTCCATGTTACCCACATGACATAGC